TGATGGTGGCGATGGTGGTGATGGTGGTGATGGTGGTGATGGTGGTGATGGTGGTGATGGTGGTGATGGTGGTGATTCAAACTCATCATCATCACCATCATCATCAACAATGGCAACAACAACTTGACAAACAGCATCGCCACAGCCGTCATTACGATGTTCGTGATCATCACCAACACGCCTCGTCGCACTATCATCGGATTCATCTTCTTCACCATCTTCATAACATATCACTACAACCGTCGTCATTGTCATCGTCACCGTCTCCTGTAAAAACGACATGACTCCGAGACCTGCACAGCCATTGCTTTCTCCGGCGCTGCCACCCGGACCCTGTTTCCAGCGGTTTCAGGCAGAAGGGGCACAGGTGCAGGGTTTCGCTTTGCGTGTCGGGGGACTCAGGCACAACTGTTCCGGTAGACCCTCGCCCTGGCACCCTTGGGCTACGAGCTTCGAGTTAAGGTCTGTTGGTGGGTTTTGCAGGATGTAAGGCCAAGGGTTTTGGGCTCATTGGCTTCAATTTCAGGATGCTGGGACCTATAGTTGCTTCCGGCCGCATTTAAGGTACTTATAACCTGCAATACTCGTCCCCCGATCCTCCAAGCAGGGTTTTCGACTCAACACTTTGGGGTTTCCGAGAAGTTCCCAGAAGGAGCATCACCGGGTTTTGTTAATGGCACGACCCCGTTTTGATGCCCATGATACCTAGGGTTTAGTGTTTAGGGCTGAAAGCACTACTGCTCTACTAAGAAACCTTAGAGTTAAATTCTATGTCGCCTGATCCCCCCGTGGAGTCCCTGGAAAGAGCATCACAAAGCTTGCCAATAACACGGTGCTGCAAACCGAGCAGCCCTCAAAACAGCTCCGTCAGCCCAGGATCCTAAGCCCAGCTACCTATACTGTTTTGGCAGTTCCTTGTTGTGATTTTAGTATAATGTAGGGGCCTTAATAAGTACCTATACTACTTTCCTGCTTGAGGTCCGAGCTGCTTTTGCACGGGCTTCCCATCGCCACCGGAGGTGGAGGACGCATCCAAAGCCTCTGATCAAGACTGTCCTAAAGGGCTATCAAGCATCATCATACTAACTGCATTGATAGTAATATTACTCTTATTGCTCTTATTTGTTAGTATGAACGAGGGCCCAGGCAGCATTCAAGCCTGAGAGATCTAGGCAGACGTAGAAGTGAAAGAGACTTGTGCTGCCCAGATGCATAATTCCGACGCATCCTTCTGGACAGCAGCTTCATGCTGGCTAAGCAACGAGCCCACAAGCCGCGGTCATACGATCCTACATTTCATTCAAGAATCAAAGGTCGCTCTCGGATAGAACTCCGGCAACCGTACAGTGTTGCCTGGTCGGTGCAACCTGCCTTGCAAGCACATGCCATTTTCAATGCCTCGAGCTTCCGGTCACCAGTAGACACATTTCGCCCACCCGGAGCCCTTGAGTGAAACCGCTGCAACCAGCATACCTAGGATTATCATGATTACGATTATAAACCACATTGTTAATGTTTTTATTGGGTTATGAATAGTGGTAGTAGTAGTAGTAGTAGTAGTAGTAGCAGCAGCAGCAGCAGCAGCAGCAGCATTTTTGTGCCGCCTGGCCGGCTTGCAGTGAGACTGGCAGAGCCCAGGCGCACCCTCACTCCACACGGAAGGGTAATTCTAGAGGCTCCAGCCGTGGCCAGATACTCCCCTCCAGCTCCGTCACGTCCTCCAACCTCCGTTTCTGCTTCTCACTCGCTTGCCTCTGACTCGTCCTAAGGACGCTGAACTTTCGGGCTGCGGCTTATGAATCTGAGCTCACCCACCTCAACCAGTACAGCGCAGGCTGCAGGTGAACGGGGAGGAGCCACTCGTCAGTACCTGACCGTGGCTGGCGGCAGAACATCGCAACCCTCACGGATCCAAAGGTCATCAGCAGTTGAAGCTGTAGTTATCTCATTTAGGACCCCAGCTGCTAAGTCCCGTGATGCGTGTAATTAAAGCCCGAAGCCCCTACACCCTGCACCCTCAACCCTAAACCCTAACCCAGAGGTCACCTCCAATGATACTCCGGCCGCCCTCTTCGATGCGGCCCTCCAGCGCTTCAACGCCCGGATTGGGAGGCTCAGCGTCCTTTCGAAGTGCTGCGGGCTTCCCGGTCTGGGGTTTGGGGTTTGGGGTTTAGGGGTTTAGGGGTTTAGGGGTTTCGGGTTTAGGATTTTGAGATTTGGGATTTGCGGTCTGAGAGACCCCCCATCCGCAGCACTCATTCCGCAGCATCAACGCACCGAAACTCTGTTGCAAACGCATATTCATCTAACTGTAGACCCCAATGCTCCAATCTAACATGAACCATGCTGCCGCAGGAAGTGAAACGACAAGGTCGACTCGAAGAACGTCAAGTACAACCATGCCCCGCTAAAAATTCACGGCACAGAACGGGGTTCTGGGCAATCCACACCCGAAACCAATCGTCCTCATCGGGCACCGGCGAAGACTTGCCACCCTGAGACAGAAGGATAAGGACGCACGGGTAGGAAGCAAGAGCTGTTGAGATAAAGTGCTCATGATCGGACAGACTTCAGAAATCGCTGTCTATATCGCCTGCAACAGTTAAACCCTCCCAGCCACCTTCTTGGGTGCAGCTTTTGGTGCATCTGCCTCATCCAAAGGATCAACATACCTCGGGTCTACACATCATGAACATGAAGCTGCCTCTGCTGGCAATTACGACTTCTGCAGGTTCATGCTCTCGGGAGTTTTGAAACCGGACTTGCAAAACAAGAGTCCACGAACTTGGCGTGGGATATCCAATTTTCACAACCAAAACGTAATAACAGCAGGCCGTTGTCTTCAGTTCTTGTCAGTACCGCTGTTCTCCAAGTCCTGAAGTCGCAGGGCGTCTCTCGAATGAGTGCGAGAGCGCAAGCCTGAGGGAGTGAGCAGGACCTTAAGATGTCTCCCAAATGAAGCCAGGAATGCTTTTTCGCGACTGCTGCTCTCATGCTTTGTGCATGAAGTTCTCTGATGTATCAGACACACTCCATGTTATCACAATTGTCATGCTGATGCGAGTACATCCGCATTCACTGTGGCACGGTACTAGTGGTTTACACATGCGAGCCATCACAACCGCAGCAAGACTGAGGTGACAAGGCCTAGGACATGGCAGCAGAAGTGCCAGTAATAGTACTACTTCGACGACGACGACGACGACGACTCCGAATACTGGCCCGAATGGTCCAAGGCACGTCTGCCTCAGGTCGCCGAAATTCACTGGCCTGGTGGATGCCAACTTGATTAAGTGAAGGATTCGGGATTGCTGTTCAAGATGTTGCTTCTTGGGCACACAAGTTTAGAGCTTCAGCACCAGCTCTGTGATTTTGCAGCTCCGATGGGCTGCTCTTGACTTTGCTGAGAGGAATCACAGTTTAAGAATGACAGCGACACCGGATCTATCGGACAGTACGGAGGAGCGCGAACCTTCGCAGAACTTCTTCTGGATCCTCCGAACCCCTGCGCTCCTGCCGGTCACTGGAGCACCAAGCCAGAAGCTGAGGAGTCACTGCCGCCAGACTTCTAGCTTGCCGCAAACCACAGGCTGAGCTTATGCTAGGACAACTGTTTATTAGCCCGCATGACTGGTACATGGTTGTCTCCTTGTACATGGTAATGCGGAAACGCCTTCCGACTTCTGCAGGAACAACCGCCTGACAGAAGTGTTCTGATCGTGGACACCAAAATAGTGCATAACCATTGCAACATCGATCATACTACTTGTAACCGCATGTCTTCACAGCGACCTGAAGCTGACACGGGAAAATGACAGTAGTAGAAACAGCAGCAGCAACACCACCACTAGTAGTGGTAGTAGCAGCAGCAGTAGCAGTTG